AGCATCGATATGGGAAATATCCCGCCTGTGTATGCGGCAGTGCATTGAATGGGGTCTTCATTCGAAGGCACAGGACGGCGTGAGCCCATTGAAAGAACAACATCAGCGCAGGATATTCTGGGAGTGCTACGTTCACGACCGTTACAGCTCGGGCATATTAGGTCGTCCTTTCGCTCTTCTCGAGTCGGAGATAAGCATGCCACTACCTATTGATGCTGACGACGAAACAATCGTAACGTCTGGTGCTAGTGTACTTGAAGATGCTCCTTCCGTCACGAACATTAGCCCAAGCGAGCTGTCAGTCAACCTGTTTTGCATCAAGCTGCGACGGCTAAGCTCTCGGGTGCACACTGCCTTTTATACTGGTCGAAAGCCCGCCTCATACAATAGCGAAGACAGCACTCGGACCTCCAGGTTTCAATCGATAGGCCACATATATTCGTCATTCATACAATTCGACAAAGAGCTCCGCGCCTTGCGGTCGTCAGTACCAGTCTTTGTAGACCCCAAATGTCTATACGAGCGTTCTGAATGGCATGACTTTATGTACGAGAAGGACCGTCTTCTGCTTGCCCGTGGCGCCATGCACAACCTACCAGCACGGCAGTTCTCCGGGACGTCCATCGTGAGGGAGATACTGAAAGTGTGCTATCAATCAGCGATACGTACAATACAACTGTATGCAGACCTTCGACGCAGAAACGCTATCACTTGGACACGCAGCTACTTCCAGATGATCTTTACCGCAGGTCTTACTGTCATCTATTGCATTATCTTGGGTGTTTTGAGCGATAATGACGAGCTCTCCGTCACTAACACTGAAACTCTACCAACGCTCAACCTTTGCAGCTCATTGTTAAACTACTTCAAAGACAAAATGCCAGACGCAGGTTCTTTCGCCACAGTCTTCAGCGTCATACTGGAAGAGTTCGTCAAAGATCGTTTTACATCTGCATCACAGGTGTCAGAAAATGTCCCCGCAAACCCAATTCAGCCAAGTTTCCAACAGCCTCCAACACATGATACGCAAATCTACCCCGATCACCACCTCAACGCGGATTCGCTGCACTCGAGCATGGACACCATCACTGCAGATCATTTACAATCGGATGGTCAACAGCAAGAACGGGCAAACCTGGATCACTTGATACTTGGGGACTTTCCTGACCTTCCAAATCACCAAGATTCGCAAGACTTCGGCATGGGTCTAACTAATGACCTTTTGAACCAACTTGAATATGGGCTGGGCGAGTACGCTTGGGGCTCGTTGAACACTAACGTAGATTATTGGAATTCTTTCTCCTACAACTAAAGAAAGGATATGGCCAAGAGAAGGTGAGGTGACGCTTCAGTAAGCAGCACCCTAGCTAGATCGCTCGGACAGTCTGGATATAGTCATACAATCGATCCACTGCCGCCATCGCAGTCTCCATCTGCGTCTCGGCCGTTGCAGCACCTACGTGCGGAGTGCTCACGACCCGTCCTGTTTCCCACAAACTACCATAGATCTCTTTGGTCGGAGGCTCATGCTCATGGCAGTCCAGACCCGCTCCCCAAATCAGACCTTCCCTCAAGGCGCGTTCGAGATCGGCCTCATGCACAATTCCGCCTCTGGCTGCGTTGATCAAGATCGAAGTGGGCTTCATGATCTTGAATTGTTCATACGATATGAGACCCCGGGTTTGAGGTATTAGAGGGACGTGTAGTGTTACCAGATCCGAAGTTCTAAGAACCTCCTCAAGAGTCGCTGCTCGGGTATGCGCAATATCTTCCCAAGCATCCTTCGGCAGTAGTGGGTCGTACGCTACGATGCGACACCCTAATCCGCCTTGGAATATTTGCGCAACCTTGCGGCCGATGTTACCCATACCGACTATCCCGATCGTCTTCTTGTTGATGATCAAACCCGAGCAGGTCTCTTTCGGCACACTAAACCCGGCACTTTGTAGCGCTGTTATGCGACCAACCTCGCGAGCCACAGACATCGTGAGCGTAAGCACCGTCTCCGCGACAGCCTGCGCATTCACCCCGGGCGTATTGAAGATCTTGATACCGCGTGCTCTGCAGGCCTCGCCATCAATCTTGTCAATTCCAACGCCCTGTTTGCCGATGGCCTTCAGGTTCTTGCAGGCGTCGATGTCTTCTGCCGTAAGGTAGGATCCGCGAATGACCAGGTACTCGGCTTTCTCCTTCCATCCCGGGTGCCTGGGATCTGAAGGTAGTATCGCGTTGAACAATGACTGGGCGCGTTTCGTAGCTTCGGGGTGTAATGTATCGAGCAGGTAAACAGTAGCCTTGTCTAACCCATTCGACGGTGACGAAGCGGGGAAGGTGTGCGCTGACTCGACGAGTGCAGGAGCCATGATGACAGCTATGACGTGAAACAGTCGACTGTACTGGGTTTGTGAGGGGAGGTTGGAGTCCAAAGTAACGTGGAATTTCGCGTCTTGATGGTATACGGCAGCCACACCCAAGGTGATGTGTACCTAGATGTATGTGGATAGCCGCACTACCCACACGCCGGGCATTAGAACTAGAGTCCAAATCTAAATCTGATGCAGAAGCCAATGCCGTCAGTATACCGGCGAATTGGTCGTGCGCGGATCAACAGAGCTCATCGGACGACCACCGAAGGGGCCGCAGCGCTAGCTTCGGGGGGTGTCCGACTGCCCGAGCGAAACGACCCCTCATCAATGTCTTTTCGGTGCCACCCTGCCTTGTCGGCTTGGAACACCGCGCACCATGATTTCCGCACATCGGAACTAGATCTAGCAGCGCAAACGACGTAAGCGGCAAGATTGTCTCAATAGGATTTGGGCGTTGGCCGGCTGTGGTTGGCTTTGCCCGCTCATACACTGCCGACGATGAGCCGCTGTACATGGCATGATATCGCGATCTCAGACGCGCTCACTAGGCTCTTGAGACTTTCTGTTGAGGTCGGTCGAGACTGCATTGCGACAAGTATGTTCCGAAAGCCCTGGAAGGCAGTGTAGTGCATCGAGAGTATAGTGAGACTGCTCAGGCATTGGAGCACGCATCTTTGTCGCTCCTGGGTAGGCGGCTGCGATGCGGTGAATACACCGATGAAGAATATTAGATATCCATCAAGAGCTCCTGGCGCTAGCTCCTGACTGGTGAGCTGATGTTCGATGGATGTCGCATACCCGACGAAGTGTTCCTCGATGCGGCCCAACATCATGTCTCGTCCTGGGTCCTGTGCGAAGCTCGAACACTTGAGCAGTTCTACGAGACCACGGGCATGGAATTGGTCTTTGAGTAGACCGCCTGCTGATAATGCTCTCGGCAATGTCTCTCTCCAGTGGCATAGATTGACGAAATGGCAAAGCAGGTCTTCATCGGTATGTTTTCGAATTGAGCGCAAGAGCTGCGCATGTTGGATCAAATATCGCAGGGCGATCACTTCCGCATCTGTACCTGCAGGCTGTGGTGAAGCTGGTGGCGACATCATGATATTGCCATCGTTGAGACAAAATGGCCGGTCCATAGCCGTACTGAGGTGAGTGTCCATGATGTACAACGTCCAGAAAGCTCTTCCATTTTGCCCCTTACTCTCGCTATCCGAACGTACATCCGAGACGCGAGATGTGTGCATACCCGCAGAGATGCAGCGTGTCATGGCCAGTCCAAGTAGATGCCATGATGATCCGCAATATGTTGTGTAGAGTGAACATATGGCAAGGGCTGTGAGACACTGCACGACTACCAAGTCGTTGGACTGTCTGAGTATGCGTGGCATGAGTCCCGAGGCCGTCGTTGTTAGCTCAGATATCAAGACTACCGCAAAGCTGTGATTTGGCGATAGCAGGAAGCCGAGTGCAATGCCTGCTCTGACTAGTAGGATCTTCTCTGGCGACTCATCCATCATCATGCCAATGTTTGTATCTCTCTCGGCCGTTACGACCAAACTGTACAAGTCTTCGAGCTCGCTGCGCGTCATGGCGGGAAAGGTTGTGGGAGCTACTTTGACAAACCGTCTGAACGCTTCAGCCGCCTGAGCACCATCTAGTTTACTGCCCTGGGAGAAAAGCTCGTTACGAAATTCTGCCATAGGCCCAGAAAGTGATGTGTTGGTTCCGATCGGGCTGCTCGGGTTGGTGTTGCCTATACTCGCCGCGGCAAGAAACAACGTCGAGAACGAAAGTCCCTGGTTCGAAAATGGCTGTCGGTCTGTCGGCTCTGCCATTGCACTAAGACTCAAGTAATTGGCTTCGTGCATGGTATGATGTAAGTCGTTGCTCGACCCAGGCTCAACGACCGATGAGTCTATCGTCCCAGCATTTGGCCCGAGGGGAGTGCTAGACGTGGATAGATTGCTATTCCAAGGCTGATTTGGTGACTCTTGATCGAGAGTGACCTCGTGCTGCATGTCAGAAGGCCGGTTGCTCCTGGCTTCCAGAGCGGCGATCCTCGACTTCAAAGACTCAATATATGAGAAGGAAGATGGATCCGAAGCGTCGATTACGGAGCCAAGGCGACGTTGCACACATTGCGATGCGGCGACGCGACATTGCTGACACGTTGGAGTATCTCGAGAGCACTAGATACTAAGTTAGCCTTTTGAGGGTGCGATGGAATTGCAGTTATCTTGTGCGCGGATTTGATCGCAAATCATGGGGAGAAACCGGTATCGAGCTGACTTGGCGTGCTGTCATTAATGCGCGAAGGAGAAGCGACCACCAACCTTCTGTTTCCGCTTCCAGCATCTTTCGCAGGCTTGCGATTGCAGGTTTATCATGTTGGCAAATGATGGTAGAGTTAGTCTCTGGGTTCAAAGCTGGTGGTTTCGAAGTCGTGAAGGAACCGAGGTATCCGATACCAATTCGGACGCTAGGGTGTCTCGGGTCTCACAGTCAGGACCACTTTACGGGCCAACGCTTTACATCAAATTATCGCGAATTCGATACTAGTAATCATGGTTGAGTAAATCCAGATCGTATATGTGATCCGACATTCTTTTATATGATACAAGATGTCGACATCTAAGAGCTTGCTAATACATTCCCATGCCCGTTGACGTGATCATTCATCTTCAATTCTTCTACTGTCACACTAGCCTTTTCTTTTAATGCATCGATAATTCCGTTGGTCGACGCGATAGTGGCTCCGTTCGTCTCAGGCTGGGTGGCCTCAGCAGAACTCTTGACCCTTGCGTTCAGTTGTGCCATCTCGCCTGCTCGCTTCGTAGCTCCACCGAGTAGCAGCGGTCCATCTGTCGCCGCCATAACCCATCGCGCGCCCATCTTGCAGAACTTCTCCACAAGGTCTAATCTTGAGTGCAGGCCTCCTACGCCAACCCATTTGCCGTGCTTCTTGCAGGCGTCAATCGTCTTCTCATACACTTCGAGTAGCTGCGGGCTCTCGTATTGTCCTGGAATACCCAGCTCGGCGCACATGTCATTGGTGCCGATCAGTAGACTGTCAACGCCGTCAATGGCGGCTAGCTCTTCAACACATTCGACTGCTTCGAGCGTCTCTACCATGGGGATGACGAGGGTTTCGCGATTGCACACAGGACTCATTGCCTTGGCGGCGAGGTGTCGGTACTGGAATTGTGGCATATTGTTCGTCGAGGAGCGATGCCCAAGAGGCTGAAATTTGGCGGCGGCTACCACATCTTTGGCGTCTTGCACAGAGCGGATGTGTGGGACTATAACGCCCATGGCACCTCCGTCAAGTACCCGAGAGACGAAGAAGGGGTCTTTGGATGGGACGCGGACTATGGGTGAAATGCCGGCGTAAAGAGCTGCAATACATATCTGACCTATCCTACGTTAGCTTGGAGGTTTCTGGAGAGTGGCGGGGCGCTGAGGAGAGAACGTACTGGTCGTGTCCAAGTCAAAGGTTGAGTGCTCCATGTCGATGAGAATACCATCAAATCCCGCGGTCTTCGCCATCATCGGAAGCTCAACGCTGCGAACAAGCTTCACGGACAGCGTGTAGGCTACCTCATCGCGGAGCATCTTCTCCCGGATTGAGTTGTGAAGAGTGAGTTCCGCCATGTTTGCGGGTGTGATCGAGCTTTGAGGTTGGATGAATGATTCAACAAGAGGGGATTGGATAGAGTTCGAGCTATACGAGAGTTCTTGTTGTAGCAATCCCGACTGTCATATGTACGTGAACGCAACCTCCTGTAGAATGAGCTTACCCAGCATAGTAGTGTACGCCAGCGGCCGCAGCCGGTCACGGTGATGCCTTCGGACCATGACCGAAGCGCCGAGCATCAGCGCACATAGCGCCCGGCCGCGAGCGGCACGTCAGCGTTGTCGATGTTGACTATGGATAAAGAGCGGGGTGGCGAGGCGAACGTGTGTCAGCCGCGTGCCGTGCCTGAGTCGTGCAGGGTCCATCAAGCGCTCGGCCGCCCCTGCCAGCTGCATCCGCGTTCACGCGTTTCTTCTTGCCCCGCTTCCACGAGACGCTACGGGCGACCACCGACGCGTAGCGCAATCCTCGGATGGCCACCGAGATGTCACGCACATCGGGCGACCACCGGAATCGTTGACTCCACAGAAATCGCCCAGGCGCGTGGAGCATAGCGCGTCTGGGGTCCGGGGAAGGCGTGGACGGCACAAACCATCCCCGCACGCTGGACGTCGTTGAAGCCAAACAGGATGCTATAGCGAGACCATGAAGGACGGCAGTGCGCATTGGCAGATGCTTACTACATCGACACTCAGAAGAAGATAACCCATGTAGCCAGGTATAAAGAAGCCGCTGCCTTCGAAGAGCCGTTGCGTTACACCGCACTGCTCGGGCCTTTCCTCCTTCAAATCCGCCATCCATCTATTCTCTATTCCTACGACCGCCTCCATGACTACCGACGACAAATCTTTGAAGGGGAGTTGTGAAGTCATCAAGGTGGAGGATGCTGGACTTTCGGAAGCCGAGACCTTCCTTCAACACTACCCTCTGCTGCGAGGAAAGCCCAAGGCTGAGCTTGACAGGCTGAACAAGGCTGTTCTTAAGAAGCTCGACTGGAAGTTTTTGCTTATCATCACTTTGATGCTCTTGATGAAGTAAGGTAGCTTCCAAGCTATTGTGGCGCGGAAGCACATAGACTAACGCTCGACAGCTACCTTGACCGCATCAACGTCTCAAATGCACGCCTTGCTGGTATGCAGCATGATATTCACATGACGGATGTGGAGTGGTCTGCTGGCATCTCGCTCTTCTACGTGGGATACATTATCTCACAGGTGCCAGCCAACATCATCATGTCCAAGCAGAAGCCTCGTATCTGGATGCCGTGCATCATGCTCGCGTGGTCCTCCGTCACGATATGCATGCCTGCTTGCACCCGACCCTGGCACTTTATGCTTTGTCGTTTCCTCGTAGGGTTCACCGAGGGCCCATTCCTCCCGGTCGTGGCGCTCATGACGTCGAGCTGGTATACAAAGCAAGAGAGCCCTTTGCGCATGGCTATCTGGCACGCGGGAAACATCGTATCAAATGTCTTCTCTGGTCTCCTTGCAGCAGGCATCTTGACCAACATGGACAACATTGCGGGTTTGCACGCGTGGCAGTGGTTCCTCTTGCTCGAGGGTATTGTGTCTATCATGGTTGCCATCCCTGGGTTCTGGCTTCTACCAAACTTCCCTAACAACACTGGAACGTACTACTTCACTCCAGAAGAGCAGCAGATGGCGCAATACCGACAATCTGTATCTTCCGGATGCGTGACGGAGGATGACGAAGGCGACTACATCGGCGGCCTAATGCAGGCGATTCGTGACCCGTTCACGTGGCTATTTGCTGGCATCCACTTCTCCCTGATCATCGCCCAGTCGTTCAAGGACTTTTTCCCATCCATCATGGACACCCTTGGTTTTGGAGAGGTCGAGACTTACCTTGTCCAAGCTCCACCATACGTCATCGCCTATATTGTGACGCTCGTCGTCTCGTGGTCGTCTGGTCGCATGCTCGAGCATGGTTATCACATCATCGGCGCTATTTCGACTACCCTGATTGGGGCAATCATTATGATCAGTACTCTCAACACAGGTGCACGGTACTTTTCCATGATTTTGCTCTGCTGTGGCCCGTTCGTAGGATTGAACATCCAGCTTTCGTGGGAGACTACCGTTGTGCCGCGACCACGAACGAAAAGGGCGGCACTCATTGCTATCGCAAACTGCGTGTCAAGTGTTAGTCATTGGTTCACGCCGTATTTCTTCTTGAGGAACCAGGAGCCGAGGTACGAGACCGGAGGCGGCTGCATCATCGCCGGATGCGGCTTGACTATAGTGCTATGTTTGGTGACGAAATGGTGGTGTAGTAAGAAGAACAAGGCTTTGGTCGCAGAGGAGGAGCGCACGGGGGTTGTGAACAGCTGGAGGTTCGCGAAGTAGACCCACATTCTATGGTTTGCTGTAGAACGCTAGCTAGCTAAACAAAAAATGCATCGCTTCCGCTTGAAATTTTACCTTATACTTTGTCTAACAAAGAATCTACAACAAATATTAATAGATAGTTTAAAGAAGAATCTTATAAATAAAAACTTTATAAATTCTAAAATATTACTAAATTTCATACTATATAACTCTACTAGTAAGAGATAACTAAACTAAATCTTAAAATATATATACTACGCTATATATAAGTATACACTTTAACTATCTTAAAGCTTTATTAGATAAGCTATATAGTAAGTTGTATTTATAGTTTTTATATTTTAAGCCTTAATTAGAGTAATTATTAAATATATAGTAAATAAATATATATTATCTATTCTAGCTTTAGAAATACAGAACCAAAAATAGATATATATATATAGTAGTAAATATTTACTAAGTAATAGCTTTTTATCTATATTAAAGTATAGTATTCTTTAATATACAACGATGAATAATCTAAGTATAATAATACAAATACTAAAAATACTTTTTACTTTCTATTATACTTTACAATTTAGCTTAATACTTTAAGCTTAAAGAATATAATTTTAGAAATTGCTACTAGTAATAAATTTAAAAATACTATAATAGTACTAGCTTTAAACTAATAAAAAATATATTAGTTTAGTTTTTATGCTTTTTATATATAAAAGTAGATTAAAACTATACGAATATATTAATAATTTTTAACACTATTTTCTATATATAAAAACACTATCTAGGCTCTAATAAAAATATAATATAATTGAATCAAAGACCTTAGTTATAGTAACGTGTTGTTATAGAGTAAAGTAATAAAACGTAGTTAGTAACTCTATATAGTAATCTTACTATAGATATATTTTCTAAAGGTTTTATACTTACTATATATAACTATAGGTAAAAAAGACATTAAACTCTATATATACATAACTATTTAGGTAAAAATAAAGATTATATAAATTTTATCTACTTAGCGCTAAGCTTAGCTATAAGAGAATCTGATATTTAATCTCTTATAGTTATATACTAGTAAATTTAAATTAATTATTTATTAAAAAAAAGGTTATTAAGAGTAAGAAAATTATGGCTTTAATATTATAGAAATAAACACTTTTTATATAGAAAGAAAAAGTATTAATAAATACTCTAAGATTAAAATACTATAGATTATAAGAATTGATAAAGCCTTAAAAAGCTTCTATTTATATAAAGAACTATTTTTCTTTAAATAACTAAAATCTAAATAATAACATTTAATTAGAAAATAACTATAGTAAAGATTTTGTATTATATTAACAGATAAGCTAAATATTAAGGTTAGAGAGTAGTTATAACTTTAGAATTATAGACACGTAATTACTTAGCTCTTAGATCTATAGCTAGAGATTTTATTTTAGCTTTCTTTTATAGTAATAAATAATAATATACTTAATTATCTCAAATTATTTATTTTAGTTCTAGCTCTAATACTATATATATAAAACTTTTTTTACTATCTAACTATAGAGTATAGATTTTAGTTTTCGGTAATTTTATATTAAAATTTTAGTATATAAAAGTATTTTAATCTATTAATATAGAGATTCTATTAGTAAGAATTTAAGCTATTATACTATAAGATAAATAGGTTAGAAAAAACTATACTTCTATAGATATAAAGTACTAATAGAAGAAGATAGAGTTAAAAGAATATTAAATAGAATTAGAGTATAAAGATATAAGTTATAAGATATATACTCTACTATAGCTTTATTACTATAGTTCTACGTATATAACTAGTAGTATTCTTTTACTAAGCTAGCTCTTAGTATTATTACTTAGTCTTAAGCTATCCATTACGTTACTATAAATAATAAGAGTAACTAGTACTTAGATTTATATTCTTTATTGTATTACTACTAATAATAAAAGTTATTTTACTACTCTAAATTTTAAAAGCCTTAACTACTACGCTACAAGTAGTAGTGCTTAGAATCTAAGTCTTAGTCTACCTAACGCTAATAACTTCTTATAGACTTTTTTATCTTTTAAGATACGCCTTTTTAACTACTAGTAATAAACTCTACTCTTTTTAAACTAGCTTATACTATAGAATTATTAGTTTACTAATAAACTAATTATAAGAGTAACACTATATAAATACTAATATTATTTCTTTCTTTTTCTTTCTAATACGCTCTACTAGCTAGCTTATCTATTTACGTCTAATTACTAAATTATAATTACTACCTCTACTAGTGTATCTTTTTAAAATTAAGTAATTATATAACTACGTAATTACGTAATAATATACTATTGTGTTACCTAATAGTAAACTTGAATATTTTTAATATAAGTCTAGATTTGTAACTTGTAATACTTATAACTATACTACTACTAATACAATATATACTATACGCGTGATTATAATAGACTAACTACTTTATATTTATTATATATTACTAATATCTATCTAGACTATTAACTAGTACTAATACTAGTTTTATATAATTATATAATTCTAAAAAGTATTTTAGTAAGCCTACTACTAGTATAAAGTCTCTAAGATAACTTAAACTACTTATATAATATTAGAATAACTACTAGTAATTAATATTTAATATATAATTATATATAAATCTAGC